CGGTCCAGAGAGGTGTTGCTCCCCCTCTACGCGACATTGGTCAGGCCACAATTGGAGTACTGCGTCCAGTTCTGGGCACCGCACTTTAAGAAGGATGTGGCCTGCCTTGAGAGGGTTTAGAGGAGGGTCACCCACTTGGTCAGACGGCAACAGGGCAGGCCCTAAGAGGAGAGACTGAGGGACCTGAACCTGTTCATCCTCAGCAAGCAGAGGCTGAGGTGGGATTTGGTGGCTGCCTACAAACTCGTTAGGAGAGATCAGAAGCAAATAGGAAGGGCCCTATTCCCCTCAGCAGCACCTGGAGTGACGAGGAACATTGGCCAGAAGCTGCTGGAGAATATGGTCAGGTTAGAGATTAGGAGGCAATATTTCACTGTTAGGGTGGCTAGGATCTGGAACCAACTTCCTAGGGAGGTGGTCCTCGCTCCTAACCTTGGGTAAATTCAAAGAGAAGTTGGACGAACACCTGTCTGGGGTCGTGTGATCCCAGCGTGTGCTCTTGCCAGTGGCAGGGGGTCAGACTAGATGATCTGTTCAGGTCCCTTCTGACCCCAAACTACTATGAAACTATGAAACTAAAACCATATGTGGCATATAATCAGGTAATGAATGCCTACCAACATTGGCTCAGGAGTATTGGTTGTAGCCATGTTGGTCTGAGGACACAGGCAGACAAGATTCTTTGGGTAAATCTGATATCTTTTATTAGACCAACTAAATAGTTGGAAAAATTCTTCTTTGCAAGCTTTCAGGTACAAAGTCAAACACCCTTCTTCAGGCAGTGGAAGCATGCCTGAAGAAGGGTGTTTGTACCCGAAAGCTTGCAAAGAAAATATTTTCCAACTATTTTAGTTGGTCTAATAAAAGATATCAGATTTACCCAAATAATCTTGTCTACCAACATTTGGCTGTCCCTCATAGCAATGGGGTTAGCCCCTGTATTTATGAAAGAGCCTCCGTGACCACGTGTAATTTTTTTTTGCTTTATGAATGAAATTGAAATGTAATGAGCCTACTGTCTTATTAATTGCTAGTATATATAGTAATGTCTCAACAGTAGTTTTTGCAATGTGAGTATTGGAAATAAAGCAATAAATAATTTGCTTCTATGAATCAATATAAAGATCACCTCAGGCCACACATTTGAGTTTTGTAGAAATATGAAGGCTGATTTTCTTGTGTCTCAAATTCATGCCTGTGCCTCTGTCACAGGGAGTAGGTTGGCTTAAATTTAACTCACAGGTTGTTTTTTTCTCCTTCAAGCATTAAATCAAATTCATCATCAGCCAAACTGAGAAAGGACATGCCCAAAATATTCCAAACACAGACATGCAGCATGAGATTACAGGGTTTTCTGCCTGTAGACCCCACAGGGTTTGACCCTAGTATAGGACACTTCATTGCTTGGCAGTCAAATAAGCCAACGACAGACTCATGGGAATTGCATTTTTTTGGTCCTTCTCCTATCCTGGCTGACCCCAGGCTGTTTTCCTCTCTGAACCACACCTGGCCTTTTAGAATTAAACTAGGGCCATGAGCCACACCTTCTCTGGCCAATTGTTCAGGTGACCCGACTAATTCCCTGGTGCCCCCACTGGAACTAGAGCAGATAAATGATGCAGGAAATACCAAAGGGGGACAAGACCAAGAGGAGACAATCTTTCATACTCCAGCTGTGTTGCAGGCATTTGCTTAGTTATACCGCATGCCATACCAGAGCTTCGTAAATCAAGGATAAAAACATTTTTGTCTGATGTATAGAAAGCAACAAGCTGTTCTGTCAAAATCTCCATTGACTTTAGTGCTTTTACTACTGATTTACATGAGTGTAAGTGTGAGTGGATTGGGGCCAGGGCTCTGTTTCCATGATTTTTAAAAATCATTTATATTTAAACTCTCTTGTGTAGTTTGCCCTGCAGCAGCAGCCTTGTATCAGCACCTGAGCCCAGTGGTGAAAGTGACTGGGCTACTGTCATCATGTGAAAGGCAAATAAATAGGCAGGAATGAACCGCAGGGATGGGAGAAGGCAAGTAACTAGGGTTTAGAAATTCTTTCAGCTGCACTGATTTATTTAAACATCACATAACAGCAATGAGAGCCTGCTTTAAACAAGAACCACTACTGTCTGCTCTCCTGCAGTGAAACCCCACTTCACAAAGATGGGGTCACGTTCATTTTGTGCAGGCATACCTTCATCTTCCCACAGCTGTGGCAGCTTCCCCCTACAGTGATACCATATGCCTGCATAACATAGGTAATGAGATTTATTTCTGAGGATTTTTAATTTGACCATGATGCTTTATTTTCAAAAACCAAGTCCTGCTCTTCAGCACTTTTTATAAAGTGGTTTAAAATGCCTAGGATGGGACTGGTGCAGCTGGCACAGCAAGGTATTGCCAGCCTGTGCAAACAGAGCAGCTGCTGCGATGAAGGAACTAACGTCAGTCATATGAAGGTGTGGTAAGACACCTCTGCAACCCGGTCCAGGGAGGGGAGGTCTGTAAGAACGGTCCAGGCCTGTCCCTGCAAACTGCTGGACTGCACTGGGTGGGGAAGTGCTCAGCACCTCACAGGCAGCATTAGCATCTTACAGGGTCAGGCCCTCAGTTGTGGATAAGATCTGGTGTGGCATTACTACAATTTGGCTCGAGAGAAGCACTTGACCTATGGGGGCTCTGTGGTAAAATCTCTCTCTTCTTTTTGGTCTGGGAGATGTATTTTGATTTCCAGAGCTTTAAACACACACACACACACACAATATAAAATATATATAATGTATATCAGGGGTGTCAAACTCATCCAACCCTGGGGGAGGAGTGGTGCAGTACTGGTCCACAAGCTGGACTGGACCCACAGACTAGCCCTGCATGCTGGATCTAGCATGTGTGCTGGAGTGGGCACCACACATAGCACAGACCCAAAGCAACTGCTGCATGCAGCACAGTCCTGAAAATATGTGGGATATGCACTGGAGTGGGTATGCCATCAAGTACACCCCTCATGCTACCTGTGGGTCAACTTGGAAACCTATGGGCAGCACCAGGACCCAGACAATAGGGCTCCCTGGGCTAGATCTGTCCCACAGACCATATCTTTGATGCCCCTGATGTATTTTATGTATCACTGACATATATCTTATGTATTCTGTTAATATTTAATACATGTATATGTATTATTACATGTAATGTATGCAAAATATACACAATATATTATTTATTCTAATAGAATTACAGTATTATATCATACAGTGGAATAATGTTTATCAGTTTGGAGGAAGGCACCTCTCTAAATTTACCTGGTTGTCCATATAATAATTGAAACAAATTAAAAAACTCATAAATGCTGGGAGTGAAAGTTCCAGATCCACTTGGGCAGCTCCTGTCCTATATGCAGCTGTCACCTTCAAATACCATGGAGTAATTGAGGTTTCCACAAAGTTTCTTTTTTTAACTCTGTTTGCATAAAGCTTTCAGCATTTCAAAGCAATCACCTTTTGGCCTGAAATTTCTATATGTGGGACCTGATCTGCATTAAAATAGCTCTCTTAGTCACTTTGCCAACTGACCAGTATAGAAGGTATAACTGGGGTCTGCTGTGACAGTGATTTCTGGCTGCCCTTGGCATAAATTAGAGAATTTGCCTAATTTCTTAAAAGCCAGGCGTGGGAGCTACTTCATGGGCACAGCATGCCTGAGAACCAGAGAATTTGGGAGATTTTTTTGCTCGACAAGGTTTTGTGGCTTCTATTTGATTATGATCAGACCATGATGAAGTGCCTGATCATGACTGGGGAAAAATGTCAGTTTGTAGCCCTGTTAACCAATTTGGGGAGCAGGAGCATAGTTGCTTTCCAGTTTGGACTGTTTTTAGAGGAAAGTTGTTGACTCCAGCAGTTCTGGAAAGTAGGGCATAACAATAGGGTGAGAGAAAAGCCTTCCTTTTATGCCCATCTTCCAAAGACCTGCCTAGCGTACCGGTCTCTAGGGCAGTCAGCTTGAATGCATGGTGTCACTCTGCTTACCCCAGTGAATACTTGTATGCTGCACATGTTGTTAGTATGTGTCACAATCAGAGCGAGCACTTCAAAACCACGCATCGGATTTCAAGCAATCCTGGAGCTGGCTTAAAAATCACGAGGTAACCCAGGCCCCTACACTGTGAGATGTTATTCTTTGCTTTCTGGTTTCTAAGTTACCCTCAGGTTATGTTTCCAAGTTTTCCCCTCCACACATAACCGCTGGAGGCACACTTCTTTTTAAATGAAAACTGAAATTCTCACATAATCACAAGACCCCATATGCTGGGACTTTAGGTTAACACCAGGTATCACAAGATTTGAAAGACTTGGCCACCCTCACCATATTGGGCACCAAGTATACTCATCACTTCTCTCCCCCTGCCAGTCTCTATTGCGGTGGATGTTGGAGAGATCACTTCTCTCCTCCTGCCAGTCTCTATTGCGGTGGATGTTGGAGGACCTTGAGAGAGAACAGAGAACCCAGATGGTATAACAGGGAGAGGGTGCTTCTGGGGAGGGATCTTTTCCACACTGAGCTCTGGAACTCGCTTCCCATTTTAACCTGCCCAGGATGGATTTATTGGACTTCAGTGAAATTTTTGTAGCTCAGCTTCTTCCATGGGTTTCTCTGGGGGCAAAGGACGGGGGGAGCAGGCTAAGCATATTAGTTTCTTGTTTTGCTGTGGTCCAGCTAGAGAGAAATTGCTTTCAGTGATCCCTGACTGTTTTGCCCTGCAGTAGTACTTTGTTCTGGGCAGTTTCCTGTGCAACATTTTGCATGTTGTACAAGTGCCTGGGGCTCACTTTGGAAACATCCACAGAAAAAAATAGTCCTTGTTCTAGTCGTCAGGCGAATGTGCATGTACAGATCTTCATAATGCAAGCAATGTGCTCTCCCCCTCTGAGATCAGATGTGAACAAACAGGTTGAGCCAGGTCTGTAGGGTGTTCCCTGGCAGGATTTATAGAAGAGGAAGACTCATATTTGCAGTGCAGTGGAGTCAGTTAGACCCTGCCTTATCTAGAGGGAAAAAAACCTCCAGAGAGAAGTCAAATTATTCTTTCTTCTTTTCTTGTGGTGAGTTTTCAAGATTTATTTTCTCTCTTTCTCCTTTTCTTGATCAAATATTCTCAACTCCTTTAACTGTGAAAGATCTAATAGGTGTAATTTGCTTTCTTACCAGGAAAAGAAATCACTGCCTAGAAAACCATGGCATGGTGGAAGGGCTGGGTAAGTAGAAGAAATGCTGAAGTGAGATGCTTTCTAGATGTTATTTTGAGGCATAATGAACTGTACACATATGATGTATAGGTGCAAAAGACAGAACCCTGTTTTCCTTCCTGTGCCCAAATAGCAATTATCCAGCTGTATAACTGCCATTTCTAGCACTTACATGCAGTTTGTGTAAGTATCCACCTGGCTCTGAAGCATGCACATCAGGCATGCTGGCCAGGCAGGTAGGTGCCACCATAGGCATGTATGCTTCATGAGCATAAACCATGACATTGTATTTAGCAAAAGCCAGGAGCCTCCTATCTTTTAATCTGGTACTTAAGTGGTCAGGGCACTTGCCCAGGAAGCAAGAAGACATGGATCTAGGACACCCATCATCCATGTCCCTAATGTCCCAGCACAGTGCTATAGCCACCAGACTATAGGTTCAGTATTATCCAGCAGTCCTTTGAAGCTGGACCCCTGCAAGGAGAGGGACAGGCAAGAGGAAGAGAGCAAGCCAGATGGTATATAGGATGGCTGTTGCTTTGGAAGGGAGTGGGCCCTGGGTTCTAGCTTTGACCTTCACTCCCACTGGGGTAGAAACTTCCCTGTTCTCTCTATTCATTTTAGTCTATATTAAATGCAAATGAATATTGAATGCAAGATGCAGTATCTTAGCTTCCCTAATGATATGGCTATGGGATTAGAGCACAGGAGGACCTTCCATCCTTGTCCTCCTGTTTTTGCTAGGCCATAATTTTGAGTCTTATTCTCAGGTGTGTGTGTACAGAGCTGGGCACCTGCCTGACCAGAGTATGCTCTGTAGCTGTGCAGATGCTCACAGGTCCACACGGTATATGGAACAGGGTCAAAAGCTCTGTAAGCGCCAAAACTGGCATTTGCATGTATAAAGTGAAATAGTATTCTACCCAAATAATACACTACTTCTACCTACAAGTTGACCATACCTAATGCAGGATCATCTGATATCAAGGAGAGAAAGCGAGATCTATCAGCACTTTAAGAGTTCTAAGTGTTGAATTTTATTGATAACTTTGCTAGTTTTAAGAAAAAGATTAGCACTTTTACAGGTTATTTGCTTGTGGGCAGAGTTCAGGTATGTATGTTGTATACTGATGTGGGGAGGCGGGTAAGCTGTGGTAATGTGTTCTGCATTAAGAACTGAAAGCTGTGAACTCCTTGGTCATTCTTCTCTCTTGTGGCCTGTAATTCCATAGCCTAAGTCCAGCTCCTATGAGAACTCTATTGCCCACTCTTAAAAAACACCAGATTGATAGACAGGATGATTGTTTCAGTGGTGGTGATAGGTTATGCTCTTAGAAGGAGATGTGGTCTCAAGTAGTTATGTCCACTACCATGGAGGTTTTGTAATACTGGTTCTGAGATCTGGAGCTGGACTCCAAGTCCTATAAGGATCACAATGCTGCTTTAAAGTCCAGGTGATTTTGAAGAAGTATATTCTAAATCTGGCTCAATGATTATGTTTTTCTGTGAGGCAGATCCAACATATACTTAACGGTCAAAGTGTATTTTACAGGAAAATGACTTTGGGGAGAAGTCTTGACTCTGTTGAAGCTAGTGGCAAAATTCCCTTTGACTTCTTTGTGGTTAGTATTTCACCCTGACTTTATCTCCAGCTCTTTGCAAATCTATACACGATACTAGTATAACGTATAGGAGTGCCTCTAAGATAGGATCCTTCTCCTTGCACACCCCTCACCTCACCGGCACCAGGGTTACTAGAGACACTGTCAGTATTTCCCTGTAGTTCAGAGACAGAGAGATGCAGGGCAGAATCTGAAAAACAGCAAAGATGAAGAAAGAGCAAGAGACCATTTACAAAGGGCAAAACATGTCTGTTTCTCAGCTGTGACTCTTGTGGATACAGTTGGTCAGTAAATGGAGAAAACTTCCTGAAAAATATTTAAAGTTATTTCCATTTTTTGAGGGTCCCAAATGGAATATTTTTCAGCTTTTCAAATAGTGTATTTTTTAATCTCTGTTTTCCCTTGTGCTTATCTTTTGCCTCCCATTTCTTCCCAGGAATTTTTTTGAAATTGCAATAGTTTAGACATTTGTTCTTCCTCTTTCTTCCTCCCTCCTTTCCTCCCACCCACATTTTGCCACTGAGTGAAATAAGATGCATAAAGTTGGAGGGAGTCTTTCTCTTTTTTGAAGTTTTTGAATGTTTTTACTTTTTGAAAAATTAAATAATTGAAAGCTCAATTCAAAACTAAACAAAAGGAACATTTTCACCGTGTCTAGAAAATGTCAATAAAATATCTAGTGAAAAAGAACTTTTTGAAAAAAAACACCTGGACGCTCACCTTGCTGGGGTCATCTGACCCCAGCAGTCTTTCCTGCTCAAGCGCAGGGGAGCTGGACCTGATGATCTCGAAAGGTCTCTTCCAGCCCCTAACATCTATGAATCTATGAATATCTAGTGAAAAGGAACTCTAGCCCATGAAAACTTTGACAAATTGCTAGTTTCTGGTAGAAAATGTTTTTGTTTGAAAAAGGTTTATTTCTCTATTGCCAAATCAGAAGGCTTCATTATCATCTTCTTCGGTGTGCATAGATTCCTCTGCCTGCCTCTTTCGTGCTCATCTCCATTATAGTACTTATATGATGTGTATGTTCATTCAAGTTAGTTAGTGCTGCCAGTTTCCTTGGGATTAATCGGAGCCAGATTCCAGTCCTAACCTGACATGACCACACCTTTCCCACTCCCTTTGGCATGACAGTCATAGAACACAAAAAGAGGGACTGTGAAGTATGAGTCATGTCTGGCTCATTCTAGCCAGATCAGACTGTAATCAGTGATGGCAAATCTTTCTCAGAAATGGTCATGTAAATGAGTTTCTACTGCCACCAGGCCCAAATATAAATTAAATCTCACCTCTGCATTTCCCAAACTCTCCAAACTTGAAGTCACTGTGTACTGACCTAGAGCACTCCTCAAAAGTCTTCAGCTTGGACAGGCTACTCCACAATTCCAAAGGAGCAAAGCTTTAGCCAGCACTAAGGTATCTCACACTTGCCACCTATCTCCTAGGGCTGTGTGAATTTTCACCCGTCTTTTCGTTTCAACACTGTTTCGACTCATTTTGAGCTTGAAACAGCAAAATTGAAATGAAATGAAGGGCTTCAAAACAGCCTCAAAACAAAATGAGGCTAGTCGGGCTGGGTTCGGAACTCAGCCCAGCTGGGCTGACTTCCTTTCCCCACCCGGATCTAGCGCTGGGGAGGGGAACTGAGCAATTGGGCTCAGTTTTCTTCCCTAGTCCCAGACGGCAGCACCAGCTTCCCTCCCTCATCTGGCAGGCAGATCAGGGGCTCTCAGTCCTGGGAGGACTGGCACAGCCCCAGCAGTCCTCCTGGGGTTGGGCCCCGATCTGCCTGCCAGATGAGAGAGGCTGTTTTGAGCTTCCCCATTATAGCCAATGGGTGAAGTGTCGAAACAGCCTCACTGTTTCGACAAAGTGAAATGAAAGAGCTGTTTCAACTTGAAATGAAATTCGAAACAAAATGCTGTTCTGTCCAAACCTCGAAACTCAAGAAATGGAACGGTGCCGTTTCACACAGCCTACTATCTTCAACCCTGCCCTCTCTGCTAGTAGCAAGGAGGGCAGGGCATTAGGTCTCTATTATGGCAGTAGACAACAGTAGGGTGACCCTCCAAGGGCTAGATGTGGCAACTCAGTTGCCAGACTGAACCAGAGGGAACAACACCACTGCATCCAGGTTGCTTCAAGGTCGGGTCTTGAAGAGAATGGCAGGATCTTTACAATTCAGGTAATGGAGAAGTGGGAGCAAAGAGGTGAGAAGGGACAGTGTAGTCAGGGCAACAGGTAATGAAGATTTTTTAGCAGCTGACTTAGGGTGGTTACAAGGAGACACAGTTATAAAAATGTAGAGATTGGACCCTTGCTAGCAACTTAAAAGGAACCAAGTTTCAAAACCATGCAGACAACTCTCACTATTCCAGTGGACTCATTTCTGAGTCTGTATGTCAAACAGAGGTAGACACAGGAGCACTGAAAAGACAGTATAGACACATATTTTACTTAATTGCTTCTGTCCAGGTTGCTGGGGTATCATATCAGTTGTTTTCAGGCAGATGTAGTCAGATGGAAGACACCGTCACAGATAACAAGGCTAGAAAGGTCCATTAAGTTCATCCAATCTGACCTCCTGCAGAGTACAGGCCAGGGAATCTGTTGTGATATTTTCTGCTTGGGTACAAACCCATCCTGCTTTTGCCATCTTTTCAACAGAGGACTCTGCATCTCCTTTCCTCAAGGTTTATCAGACAGTCTGAGTTCTTCAAGTTCAGTATCTAGGTATGGGGTTGGGGAGGAAGAAGTGAAGGGTAAAAAGCAGTGGCACTCACCCCCTGGGCTGCAGAACTGAACGGGCTGTGACCAGGATCCTGAATCCACCCATTAGGACTTAGCTTGGGACTCACTGATCTTATTTCATATTGTACATGACATTACTGTTAATTTCATACTTCACAAGGAAAGGTTTGTGAATTTGTAGACAGAGTACTTGGGAAGCCAGATTCTGTTTTCAGCTCTGGATGACCTTAAGTATGCCTTGTTTCTTTCCTGTGCCTTAGTTCCTACATTTGTAAAATGGAGAATATGCAACTAACTTTGTGTAGAGAGGTCAGAGATCTAGCAGTGCAAAGCTAAGAGTTATGAAGATCTTTTTATTTCAGCATGATGAAGACGGCAGCTCGGTGAAAGGCAGCCTGCAGTTTGACCCTGCCCCTGATGCCCAAGCTCTGTACCAAGCCATGAAAGGATGTGGTGAGTCAACTTTTTTTATTACCAACATATTTAAATCCTCCCGCACAGAGATTATAGAGTTAGTGAAGTTTAAAGCCCTTCTTTGAAAAATTCACAGCTGCTGATGCCATCACTTGCTATGGGATTCAAATCAGACATATTCCAAAACATGCCCAAACATTTTCATAGTCACAGCAGAGAGTCTGGGAAGGCTAGATGAGTAATAGTGGCAGGGTCTGGACGAGTCTTAGCTTATTCTACTGAAACCTGTATTTATGTTTTTTATTGTTCTCACCAGGGACCAATGAGCAAGCTATAATCGACATCCTCACCAACAGAACCAATGCACAGCGTCAACAGATCGCCAAATCATTCAAAGCACACTTTGGAAAGGTTATCCAAAAATGACATGCTTTTCATGTTGGGGGTGTGTGTGTGTGTGTGTGAGAGAGAGAGAGAGAGAGAGAGCGCATGCGTGCGTGAGCAAGTGCACTGTTCTCTCCTGGATAAAATGTTGGATGTTAACTGTTTGTATCACCCAGTAGGATTTTTTTTCCCCAGGAATCATTTTCCATCCAGAAATGTGAGGTCAGCTCTGGTGTGGAGAAAATAGTGCATGATTTGGACAGAGAGGGGAAGTAGTGAATGGTATCAATCAAGAGCAGCTCTCTGGGGAAAATAAAATTCAGCAGTTGACAAAATGGCAGCAATATAAGATCCCAAAAAGGAAATAAATAGGGAAGGAATAGGGTCATTGGCAGAGTGATTTATACAGCAAGAGCTACACTAAAATGAGAGCAAGGTTTTGAAAACAAGGGCACTTGTACACATGATGGGGGTTTAGTCTCCTAAATTGAAACAGTGGATTTTTAATTGTGAAGATTAAAAACCCACTGTTTCAATTTAAGGGCTTTCGTCACTGTTAGGACAAGGGGCCCGATCCTTTTGTTTGTTCTTTTTTTTTCTCTGCAAGCCTGCCTGCTTCTCCTGCGGTTGGGGGGCAAGCTGCCGCCAGGCCGAACAGCCCCTGAACTGTGGGACCCTCCGGTCCTTCCCTCTGCAGTGGCAGCACCCCCCAGGGTTGCCTGCGTGGGCTGCAAGTGGTCTGGGGGCTGCCCCAGCTCAGGCTCAGAGAACAGTTGGATTGGCCTGGGTGCTGCCTCCAAGCTGGGGCAACCCCTGGTCCACTAGCAGCCTGCCCAGGCAGCCCTGGGGGGGACTGCCACTATGGATGGAAGGACTGGAGCCCCCCACAGCTCAGGGCCCACTGGCAGCTTGCCCCCCAGCTGCAGGCAGGCTCCGTGGAAAAAAAAGAGGATCAGTCTTTTTTTTTTCTGGTGGATCCTGCCTGCACAAGCTGCCAGCAAGCTGAGTAGCCCCTGAGCTTTGGGTTGCTCCTTCCCTCCGTGGCAGCAGTGCTCCCCAGAGCTGCCTGGGCAGGCTGCTGGTGGGTGGGTGCTGCTGCAGCTCAGAGGAATCACCTGGCTGGATCCAACTCTTCCCCAAGCCTTCCCAGGGAGCAGCACCCCATGCACTATCCCAACCACCTTCCCGCCACCTTGGACCGTGCAGAAATGGACTGAATTGCCCCTGGGGCAACACAGGGAAGCAGCAGGAGGGTGGCTGGGTATACTGGTGGCCAGAAAAGGTAGCAGGGACAGTGCACAGAGTGCTAAAAGCCCAGGCAGGCTTGGGGAAACTTGGGCTTGGCAGGCTTCCAGCGTGCCATGCACCATCCCTGCTGCCATCTCTGGCCACCAGCACAGCCAGCCGCCTTCCTGCCACTTCGCCACGCTGCCCCAGGAGCAAGCCAGCTCATTCCTGGGTGGCCCCAGGCAGCAGAAAGGTGGCAGGGACAATGCACGTGGCACCGGAAGCCCCGGCGGGCGTGGAGAAGAGTGGGATCCAGAGTGTGGTGTAAGGAACGTGCCTGGAAGGGGCCTGCAGTGCGACGGTCCAGTCTTTCCCCCTGCCGCCCTGTGGGTGCGGTTTGTGGCGATGGGCTGTTGTTCTCCCGAAAACCTGTGAGTGTATGTATTCCTGAATCCTGTTTCCCAGTAAAGATAAAGCTGTTTATCATCCCACCAGTCTCTGCTGAATGCTGACTCAAGGACAGAACCCCAGGGGCATGGAGGTCTGAGTGAGTACCCCATCCCTGGGACCCAGTGGCATAGAGTAAACATTATATGGTGTCAGAAGTGACCTGTCTCTTAGTGGAGTCACCAGCAGCCTGATTAAGAGGGTTACAGCTTTCACCTGCAACTAAAATGAAATGAAATGAAATAATGGAGCATTTCAAACCTCTACCAGCACTGTCCTTCACTGGAAATCTTGGGGAGAATTGGAGGAGATGGGAACAGAAGCTGTGATTATACCTTGCAGTCACAAAGGCTGAGGAAGAGGCAGAGGTTTATAAAATTGCCGTTATGCTTCACTGCATCGGGGATAAAGCCCTAGAAATGTGCAACAACATGCAAGGGGTCTTTGCAGACCCTAGTAATGAAACCCTTAAGGAGGTGCTTGCAGCATTCAAGAGCTACTGTGAACCCAGAAAAAAACCTATTTTTGAAAGGTGTCAGTTCTGGCAACTTAGATAAAATGAGGCTGCAGGCATAAATGATTGTTACAGAGCTCAGAAGTAGAGCACAGCATTGTGAATTTGGATCTTCTGAGGATGTTACATTGAGGGAAAAAATTGTCTTCAGCATAACTGACTGCAGACTTGAGGAAAGGCTTCTGGAAGATCCCTCCCTCCCTCCGTCACAAGCTGTGGCTATCTGCAGAGCAAAGGCTCTCACAAGTGCTCAGGCTGGTGTTATGCCTGCAAAACCAAGGTTGCATACAGCTGAGCAAAAGCAAAGCTGCCATAGCACTTTGCAAAAGCAAAGCAAACCACCAATGACATTTGCTCCACAGGAGGGCCATTAAGCTGCAAATGGCAAAGTTTGCAAACAGTGTGGAAGTACACATAAGCCTAGATCTTGCCCAGCTTTAGGAGAAACTTGTTACAAATGCTTGGGAGTGAACCACTTTGCAAAAATGTGCAAATCAAAGAGAGAGGCTCCAAAGTCTGCAAAAGGAGTCAGTACCATACATATGGGTGCAATATCTGCAAAGCAGCATTCACAGACCTTTAATAACCAAAATGCCTGGTATAGCAAAGTGATGATTGCTGGCTTGCCAGTTTATTTTAAGTTAGATACTGGAAAGGAAGCAAACACTATTCCAGTAGATGTAGCAAAGGCTTTGCAAGGAAAAGTATGCAAGACTCAAACCCCTGTTACATTAGTTGCATTTGGCAAATTTGGTGCTAATGAATCCAATTTAACTTTTTACATAACCGACAATAGTGACCCACCAATACTTGGTAGGGTGGCATGAACCACTTTAGACCTCATCAGTAGAGTCCATGAAATGGCCCTGATAATACCTGCAACCAAGGCAGACCTTCTCAAACCATACCGGTCCATTTTCGAAGGGTTGGGCCAATTTCCTGGTACCCACCACATCTATGTTGACCCAGAGATACCACCAATGGTGCATGGGTGTAGAAAAATTCCCTATGCAACCTTAGGCAAATTGAAGACCCTCCTCGAAATGCTGGAAGCTATAAGAGTCATTACAAAGATGACTGAGCCCACACCCTGGGTCAATAGCCTTGTGATCGCGCAAAAGTAGGATGGTTCGCTACGGCTTTGCTTAGACCCACAAGACCTCAACAAGGCAGTATTTCTATTCCCACTGTAGGGGATGTGCAAAAGAGCTTGTCAGGTAAAAAGCTGTTCACCATTCTTGATGAAAAGGATGGCTACTGACAAGTCAAATTGGACAAGGAATAGGCAGCGCTGTGTGCCTTTAACACTAAAGGAGGCTTGACATCTACCTGGCTGGAGTCATTTGAGCACGGTTTTCTCTCCTGCCCAGGGCAGGGGGTCGGACTTGATGATCTACAAGGTCCCTCCCAACCCTACTTCTATGAATTTATGAAGCTACGAACCCCATGGGGATGGTTTCACTTCAGTCACCTGCCCTTTGGCCTTAAGTCAACTAGTAAAGTATTCCAACAAAAGAATCCTGAGTGCTTTGGTGACATTCTGGGAATCCACATAATCTGGGATGACATGCTCGTTGTGGCAGCTACCAAAGAGGAACATGATACTATCCTGAAACAAGTCCTGGAGAGAGCACGTCTGAAAGGAGTAAAGTTTAATAAGGACAAAATACAGTTTTTAGTCGACAGTGTTGGGTATACAGGCCATAACTTCTCAAGAGATGGTGTCAAACCAGACGATGACAAAGTGGAAGCCATCAACAGGATGCCCCCTTCCACAGACAAAAAAGGCCTTCAGAGACTCCTCGGAGCCATTCAGTACTCGGCACAATACATCCCACATGTGTCCAGCTTGACAGCCCTGCTGAGAGCGCTTCTCAGGAAGCGCTCTCAGCAATGGGGACTCAAGCAATCAGGAAGCCCTGGATAAGCTCGCACAAACCATCACAATGGTGCCTGTTCTCAGGTACTTTTTAACCCAGCAGAGTAGCTGGAAATCCAAGCTGATGCATCCAAAGATGGCCTAGGAGCATGTCTGTTTCAGCAGAAGCAGCCAATTGCATATGCTTTGAGTTCTCTAACACAATCCAACAGGAAAAAAGAAAGGATCGGGCCCCTCATCGCTTCTGCCTTCAGCCTGCCTCTGCCATGGCTGGGGAGCAAACTATCAGATTAAATGCTGCAAAGCTACAAGTAGCTACGTTGATGCAAACTAAACTACATGGGGATGTGATTTAGTTTGCAATGTAACAAACTAATTTAAATTACAAAAACCCCTGTATATGTAAAGTGTGACGCAATTAAACTGGAAAAATGAGCAATTTTCATCATGCGTACAAGTGCCCCAAATTTTAAGCTGACCATGGGCCTAACTGCACCATTTTTAAGCACACATTACACTTCAAGCATCCGAGTATTCTCACACCTCGCTTATCAATTCTGTTTACAGTTATGCTAAGTTTGGGCCTTAATGCTTCAGTTCCCCATCTGTAGTACAGAGATGACAGTAATTTACCCGTTGGTCCCAGAAGATTGTGAACATTAATTTATTAGTATTCATGATCCACCCAGATACTCAAAATACCTTCATAGATCCCACTTGCATCCAAGTCTCTAAACCAGCCTCTGGCTGCCTTTATAGTAACCTAGCCAGTTAAACATTACTGACTGGCTTCACCCCTGTTGACCAGGTGGTAGGATTACATGTGGGGACTGGGAGTAGTGATAGGAAGTGCATTCTTTCTCTAACTGTATGTTGCCCATTTAACAGGACCTTATTGAAAGCTTAAAGTCTGAGCTGACCGGCAAGTTTGAGAGACTCATCATAGCTCTTATGTACCCCCCATCCAAATATGATGCCAAGGAACTGCATGATGCTGTGAAGGTAAATGTATTGCAGGCTCTTTGTGAAGCAGCAAAATAAATCAGTTGCTGATTTTCTGTTAGGGTTGCATTAATAAAAAATGTTTTGTAATGTAATTAAATGACCTCATTGCATAGGATCACTTCTCAGCAGTCCTAGACACATATTACTGGTAGTTACATCTCCACTTAACTTCTGGTCACCAAGATTCTGTGGCTCCTGTTCCAAGCTAAACCACCCTTGTAGATAGACGGTTCTAAATAGATGATCAAGGCCCTGTAAAATCAACCTGAGGCCAAAATTGTTCACTGCTATGCATATGTATCTATGTTGGACCAAGCTAGTTTTGAGTGGCTCTTGGTTTCATAATGGACCTTTCTCTCAGTTCAGCACATGATCCAATCTTATTATGGTTCTAAAATGAAACTATTTTTTAAAGCAAGATATAACTTCATGGCTAAATATTTTCTCGTGCTTCTTCCCCTCCTTGTCTATTTAAAGGGTATAGGAACAAGTGAAGGGGTCATCATAGAGATATTGGCATCTCGGACAAAAGAGCAAATCAAAAATATAGTCAACGCCTACAAAGAAGGTAAGTCAGCTTAAACTGAAGTATTGCATGACTGTCAAAGTGCTCAGCAGAGCAGAGATTAGATTCTAGTGCTGGGAGCAGGATTTTCAACAGCACTCAGCATTTGTCTACCTGAGCACTCATTGGAAGACTGACAGGCGCTGGGCCCATTTGAAAATCTTGCTCTAAATCAGTGACGACGCATATGGGGTACAGGGGTGCATGTGCATCCCTGAGAGTGCTGGTGCACCCCCTGACCGGCCATGCTCCCTGCTTAGGTGATGGGTCAGGGGCAGGCGGGAGCACCAGTGCCCCCTCTGCAAGCGCTGGCTGGGGAGTGGGAGCGCTGGATGAAGTGCCACGGCCTCTTCTGGGAGCACCACGGCTGCTTCCCTGTTGGTGAGTTTTGCCGTGGAGGGACTCCCCCCCCCCAGGTCGATGTGATTGGCTGGTTGTTGACTAAGGTGGCACCAGTCGCCCATGCTCTAAATGTTTCCTTCATAATAGGTAAACCTGAAAGACATACATGTTTGGGTTCAGGTGGGTAGCAAGTCATCTGAATAAATCTTTATTCTTCTTGGTAGAGTTTGATTTGTTTTTACTCAAATGTGCCCCAGATGGGAATCTGTCCAATATATGTCCATGCATGTCCTTTGATTCCTTCATAGATTCAGGATCACAGCTGACCTTGAGAGAGGATTTAAGAAACTAAGAGCGCATATACACATGATGCTACATCACCATAGCAACGCGCTACAATGACTTAGTGTCCATGGGCGTCTACCTATGACCAGCAGCTACTTCACTGTAGCAGCGCACTCCCCAATTATGACGCTCTGCTACAGTGAAGTAGCAGCTAAAAATAACCGTGCACTGCACGTACAGCACAGTATGGGCGGTTACTGTGCTGTGCTTTAGTACTTCTACAAAGAACTACTAAAGCACAGCACAGTAACAACATTGCCATAGGGCAACGTGTAGGTGTGCCCTGTGATCCCAGTTCAACTAGGCACATGTCTGACTTTAAGTAACTGATTGGCCCTTGAATTAGTGGAGCTAGTCGCATGTTCAGTCCAGGTACCAACTGAAGTAACTTAAGTCCTTGCTGAGCTGTACAGAGCTGTGTGATGCCCATGCGTCCAAGCTACCTTCTTCCTATCTGCTGTGTATACATTTGTTTATAGATGACATCCCAATCATTTCTTGTGCCTGTCAGCTGACACTTGCAACTTTCCTTGTAGAATACGACTCTGACCTGGAAGAGGACATCAAGTCAGACACAAGTGGCTACCTTGAGCAGATATTAGTTTGCCTTCTTCAGGTAATGTTAGGGCCAAAAAATGAGAACCAGAGATCTTAAATGACTCTTTTTCTGACAGGGTTCAGCA